TAAGACTTTTTCTGGCATCCTTTTGCTGTATATGCGGCCTCCACCACAGCAACAAAAGGCTTGCTTGAAATATTGCAAATAATATTTTGGCCGTTATGAAAAATGCTGAATTCTGCACTTTTTGCATAGACCCATCATTGATTTCCCTTATTTGCTTAGTTTTATAGATCTGTATTCCAGGCATAACTTCAGAATCTGACTTTCTTGGGCATTAGTTGTCTATCTCTGTGGGTGTGAAGATAAGGGTCTGATAAATCTTGTTAGTTCTAGGTGCCCACATCTGTTTATAATTCTGTAAAATGTATTGATATTAAAATGGAAATTTTTTTTGAACAGTGCCCTTTTGAGAACTTAATTTCAGACTGAAAGAACATTGTAAAGGTTTCTATATGATCCTTGTATCCATGGGAGACATGCTGCTGAACAGGAGAAATAGGACACTGTTAATAATAATAATAATAATAATAATAATAATAATAATAATAATAATGAATTGTATTAAAAGGAACAGCTTCTGACATAAGTTGCTAGAGACGGGCACAATTTGTGTTTTACTGCAAAGAACATAGGAATCAGAAATGTGATTACTATGTTTTCTCTTCTCTTTTCCTCTGTCTGGAAGAATTACGGTACTTAGAACCTGCTTCTGATTGAAGGTGTTACAAATGGAAATTCAAAGTTTTCACAAACTCAGATCAGTATTAGGTAGATCTAGCCGCAGTTTATTAATTGGCATTGAAGGAATTTGATTGAACAATCATTTGATTGAACAATCATTTGTACTGAATATTTAACTTCTGGGTGCCTTGAATCCCATTTTGGGAGAAAGGTGTGAGAAAAATCAAATAAACAACTAAACTAATTGAACAGTAAGCTAATTTTTCCAGTGTTGTGCCTTTGAGTTATATTGGATTTGCATAATCGGTCATGCAAATTATGTTATTAGTGGGTGGTAGTTCAACATAACTGTGGAGTGACAACTTGAGGAAGGTTGCTTTGGGGAATGTATGTACTCTGCTGCTTTATTTTCTGAATAGCAGTCAGTTAATTCTATGGCAAACAGAAGGGGACCCAACTTGGGAATGATATGCTGTTGGTGATGGGTCTCTTATGTTTGTATCAAGAAACTATTGGCTTTGCGAGAGTACAGTAGTACATGTGGTTCTGTCATTCTCATTTGTTGGTCAGCTGCTGTACTGGAACACTGGGGTAACTAATTTTTTCCTGGATATTAATTGTAGTTACATTGGTGGGATCACCTCTAACTTGGAGAAAGTAAGTCTGTCTGTGGCTGCCTCAGACAAGTGTTGATAGGAACTCATCGAAGATTTGGCTACCTACATCTTTTTCCTATCTTAAAACAGTTCCAGGGAGCTTGGCGTCTCTGGAAACTCCCAAAAATTTACCAGAAGAGCTGATTGGGAGGTTTTATAATAGAATGGGCATTTCCATGTCTCCGTATCTAGTGTCTAGCATGCCTTATATTGGATTCTGTATGATTCTTGGTGTGTTGCCTACCTCCAAGTTAGGGGTCCAGCCAGTTCTTCCATATAGGCTTCTTATCTCAGCAGTTTGTTTGGCAGGAATGCTTTCTCTACCTGAGCACATCAGAAGATCCATTTGCATGACTATAATGGAGTAATGTGCTTTTCTGAAGCAATTGGTCTTGCCTTCATTTTGTGATTACAAGTGGCAGAAAAGCTAGATTTGATGAGTTACCTGTTGAGGCATCTGGGCTTCAAAAACTTCAATTCTGTCAACATAGCGACAAGTTTTCCTTTTAAAACTCAAGAGTGTACAGTGGCGAAATCAGTCATTAACATTTGTTCTTGGGATTATTTACTATTCAGAATGAGGTCCGGTAAAGGAATAAAACTGGTTCCAAGGAACTATGGTTTGCAAAACTGAAACAAGTGTTAAGATATAGGTTACATTTCCTTTCTTTCCTGGAATTATATGGTATTTTTTCCATTTTTTTATCCAGTAAGTGAGCTAGTTACGGGTCAGCTTACTTATTATCACTAAAAACATTACCTAAAACAGGCATGAATTAGCTATTGATGTAGAACAGAGGCAGGCAAAATGTGGCTGTCCATCTGTTGCAACATCTGGCTGGCTGCCCTTTTCCCACCCCTGAGCAAGCAATATCATACTTCCCTCATAAACCAGAATTTGAAACCATAGCTTGAAGAGAGTTTGCAAACCATATCTCTGGAGGAAACGTACTAACATTCAGCCTGATTTTCACTGCTGCACGTGTAAGAAGGGAGGAGAAATTTGTATTAGAGAAGGAAAGTAGGAAAGAGGGATGACTCAATTTTTGAGGTTGGTTCCTGATTTGATTCATCTACATTTGTTACTTTTGGTCTGCAAGCTGACAAATGGGAATGAAGTACATGTCAGTCCTTAACTAGTCTTTTCTAGTCTTTGCTTGTGCATAGTGATTCCTATTTCTTCAAGGCCAATTGGTCATATTAGATGGAAGCATTCAAAGGGTTTGAGAGTCTACACTTTGCAGTCTTCTTTTCCATATTCTTTACTGCTCAATAATATTTGGCCAGCACCTGACAGCTTATAAAGAACCCATTTCTTGTATTGTCGAAGGCTTTCATGGCCGGAATCACTGGGTTGTTGTAGGTTTTTCCGGGCTAAATGGCCATGTACTGGAGACATTTTCTCCTGACGTTTCGCCTGCATTTATGGCAAGCATCCTCAAGGAGGATGCTTGCCATAGATGCAGGCGAAATGTCAGGAGAAAATGCCTCCAGAACATGGCCATTTAGCCCGGAAAAACCTACAACAACCCAACCCATTTCTTGATTATTAGAGCTAGCATTGTAATTTTAGTATTCAGTTGTCTGTTGATGAATGATTGGTTTCCTTCAGCTAACTGGGTGTACTCTTCCTATTGCCATCATTGCTTTTGCACTGACAATCGGACAGAGCACATTTTCTCACTGCCATGCTGAACACAGAGCTTTGCCATGTAACTTCCATGTGGTACTACTCCCTTTTTTCATTGGGAAATCCTTATGTGGTGCTATTTTCATTTTTCAATCAAGTAAGCAGATCTTTCATATAACATTAGTATTTGTGAGGGCCTCATAAAACACTTGGCATTATCTCTTTAATCCTTAAAACAATATTCCAGGCTGGTATTGTGATTAGAATTGAGGCATTGGGTCAGGGAGATTTTGTTTCACTTCCCTCGCTTGTGGTTGAACTAGATAACCCAGCACATGCTAACTTAGACACTACAGTGTGACTATACTAATAGATGATAAAATTAATTCTGTAAGATAGGCATCAGGATGGAGTAGGAAAGAGGATGTTAGTTTTTTTAATGGGATTGCTCAGGACTATCATCTAAGTCAGTGGTTCCCAACTTTTTTTGATCAAGGACCCCTTTGACCAGGAACCACTTTCCAACATTGCTTCCCAAAAGTGTTATGAATAGGTTTTTGGTCAACTCTATAATTGCGATGGTGTAGTAATGGTGAGGCTGCGGACCATATTTTAGTTCTTGTGGACCACTGGTTGTCCACGGACCACAGGTTGGGAACCACTGATCTAAATGGAAGACTTACACTGTATGTGCTTAATTACTTCATCAATCAGATAGTGGCGTGTATGTAAGACAGGAGTGGACACCTCATGGCCCTCTGAATACTGTTGGACTGCAGTCAATCATCCCTAGTTAGTTTGGCAGTGTCGAAGAATGATGGGATTTACCATGCTTCTTGTGGCCTTCTGTATGTTGCTGAGCTGTTGTTGCTATCAGCCCTATGCAAAATTGGCACTGTTGGGGAAATGACAGCTAAGCAACATTTGGAAGATGACATGTTTCCCAGCCCTCATTTAAGGCTGGAAGGGTGTGTGAATACAGGGGAGCAGTACTGATATTTGCCTTGATCTGCTTTAGTAGTGCAGCAAGTTCTTTCACATGTGTCTACTCCAGTGGTTTCCAACCTTTTTTTTTTTTTTTGGCCAGTGACCACTCTCCAACATTAGTACCAAAAGGATTAAAAATCAGTTTTTGGTCAACTTTAGAATTGGTTTGGTTATTTGGGGTGCTGATTCAGAAATTGCATTGGATAGACACATCAGCTCTAGTTTCTGATACCGAACATATGCCATCCAGTAGTCACATCTGCTCGCCCACAGTAAACCATATGTAATAATCTAGAGCTAATGTAGTATAGTAATCTTTGTGGGTAGTCAGCCTCTCCCCTCCCGACATCCCCATTGCCTCGGCATTATAAGAGGGTTTCGCAAGGCCAGTCACTCTCATTGCTGCGTGGTTTCGAGGCAAAGGTGTAGTAATGGTGAGGCCACAGACCATATTTTAATTCTTGCAGACCACTGGTGGTCCATGGAACCTCTGGTCTACTGGCTTTGACTTTAAACAGGATTGAAGGGCAAGTCAGTGAGCAGCCATTACTTATGGTAGAATCTCCCTTGTTGAGAGTAAGAATGCCACTGAATGCCAATTGCCAAGGAAGACCCATTGCTTTCATGCTTTGGTACATGGTGAAGGCAGAAGCATGAGCCCATGAAACACAGCGGAAATAGGGGAGAATGGAAAGAGTGGCATGAAAGAAGAGACCATGTTGTGTAAGACACCCCTTCATTAGGTATGTATGTATTCATACGAAGGGCTCTTGTTTTGTGTGCATTGTGCGGGCACATTACAATTTCACAGCTATCCTCATTATTGACTGTGCTGGGTTGTTAGGAGTTATGGACCAGCAACATATTAAGGACCACATTGCCCACTTCTGTAAAGACTCATGCCTGGTAGAACTGCCAGAAGAGAGAACTGGAAGTCCATGATGAGTATTAATGGCTCCTTCATCAGCTTAAGAGGAGCCTCTCTGTCTAGAACTGCTGAAGTTTGTTAGGCTGAAACACTTACTAGAAGGAGACACTTCCAAGATTTACTGTAATGTTTCCATTAATCTGTTGTATTTGACAAGCTTTTTCTCTTTTCCTTCTTGTAGCTGCAGGGAAGACACAAACGGTCGGAGGATTTCATGTCAACTTGGGAAAGGAATCACGGGCACAAACTCTGCAAAATGGTAACTTGCTATGATTTATTTAAAGCATAAGGACAAGAATGAGCAAGCCCTGCTGAATAATTCTGTCTTAAAGCTGTCATTGTTTTATAGCTTTTCTGCTACTGGTTTTTAGAGTGTGCTTTAGAACAAAACAGACCTTGTTGGTAGATAGACATTTTATTTTTAGTGCTTGAAGATCTCACCATGGTACATTGCCTTGAGATCATTAATGGAAGAAAGGGAAGATATACATGTAATATTGAAAGTCAATGTATATGTGTCTATGGCAATAATAATTCATTGGGAAATAATGCCAGGCCTTCAAAACTTGACAATGTTTCTGTTTGTTTTTGCTTGTTGTCCAATTTGAAGTGCCATTTTCAGGATGAAGTCCCATGAGGTACTACTTCCTACATGCAAAGTGGGGGTGGAGACTACCATAATGCATCAGAAATCATTTTTTCAAGGGCTAAAAAATTGAAGAGTGCTTTCTGAAGCACAGTTGAGATTCTTGAGATTTAAAAAAAGATGGGAAAAGTGGGAGGGGGTTCTCTGAGATACTGCTGGCAAAGTTAGGAGGAAATGGGAGCAGAAAATCAGATACCTTTGTGGATATTAGGTATGGATCTGGACAGTATTATTTAAGGTTCAGCTATTCTATTCTAATAAGTGAAATATGTGTGCATGTGGCAGAGTGTCCACTTACACAGATAGCCTCCCACCACCACAAACAGGCTATAGTTCCAAGTGCTGAGAAGCCTCCAAAGGCACTCCTTCCACTGACATTGTAGGTTAGAGCAAGCGCTATGAAGATGTAGCCCAAACCTTGCCAGTGTCCTCCCCAAACACTATGGCCCACCACCTTTCATTTGGGGACCATTTCATCCTAGATTTTACGTGTTTCCTCCACCACAGGCAGGCATCCCAGTGTTCCTTTCTCCATTAGTGTGGAATTTGCATGACCCCACTCACTGCCTTTCCCTTAACCCTTTCCTACTCTTTTCAACTCTGCATAACAAACAGAGCAGAACTGAGCAGTAGCTAAACATACTGGGGTGGGGTGGGGTGGGGGATTGACTCCACATGATGGAGGTTGTAGTTCACCCTGCATCAAGTCAGCATTGTGACCCTCACCAGCATTGGGCATGGACCACATTTGGCACACAGAACCCCCATGATCTAAGAAAAATACTGGAGAGGTTTGGGGGGAAGTCACCGTGATTTATTGCCTTTGTTAGGGATTTATAGTTCACCTGCAATCAAAGAGCACTCTGGACGCCACTAATGATGGCTCTGCACCTAACTTTGCACACAGAACCCCCATGACCAACTGAAAGTACTGGAGGGGTTTTGGGCGGAGGGCTGGCCTTAATTTCTGGAAGTTGTAGTTCACTTACATCCAGAGACACTATGACTGCCACCGATGATGGATCTAGACCAAATTTAGCACGCATACACAATATGCCCAATTTTGCATACTGGTAGGTTTTGGGGGGAATTGGTCTTGGCATTTGGGAGTGGTAGGTGCTGGGGTTTATAGTTCACATGCAATCAAAGAGCACTCTGGACTCCACCAATAATGGACATGGATCAAACTTGGCACACATACCCATATGCCCAAATTTGGGGGAGATTGACCTTGATTTCTGGGAGTTGTAGTTCACCTACAACCAGAGAAACTGGACCTGGATCAGACTTGGCACACAGAACCCCCATGACCAATTGAACATACTGGAGGGGTTTGAGGGGAGTGACCCACCATGGTGGGAGCTGTCGTTCATCCTGCAACCAGAGATCACACAGAATCCCAACAATGATACATCTAGAGTCAACTTGCCGAACATGAGAAACTAACCACTGATGGAGTTTCAGGGGATTAACCTGATACGTTGTGATTTGTAGTTCACCCACAACCATATGCATTTTGTAAAATAAAAATTATGACTTTTTCAAATAACCCGAGCAATGCAGGGTACTCAAGATAATAAAAAATAAAACCCTGGCAAGTCCCAATTTACCAAGTGTGACAGCTGTCTGAAATATATTGCCATGGTATGTATGATTTCAAGTTGGAGTTGAAGGTGCTTGGACATGAGTCTAGGCTTAGAGATAGTGCCCTCTAGCTTAGTTTGTACTTGTTCCTAAAGTTCGGCAACTAGAAGGCATTGCTATTGACCTAACAAGGGGGAAAGACTTTGATGTTTATATTGAGAAGTTCAGTACTATGGTCCAGTTCTAAGGGCCAGTGTGTGTGTGTGTGTGTGTGTGGGTGTGTGCGCGCGCATGTAACTGCACTTGCACCACCACACTACTGACTTTTATTTTGAATAAACTTATGTACCATCATTATTTTTAATAATTATTAGTCAAATCTCCTCTCAGTGTTCCCACATTACTTTAAGCTTTCTTTCGTCGATCTGTTTACAGCATCAGTCGATGCCCTTTCCAGTTTACAGATTACCTCAAGGTGTTGCCTCTTATTTTTCTGATAAAAGAATTAGTCAATTTTCTTGTCAGTCTTTTCCAGAATGTAAGATCACATTCACCCTGATTTTTATTTGCAAATGTCGTGTCCCATATGAATCCAGTACTTTAATGTTAACAGATTTTCTTTGAAATATGCTACAAACTGATTTGAGCAATGGTAATTAAACGGTGAGAACAATTGTTTGGGTGCTGTACTCAGACTCTGGAGACCAAGGTTCAGTTCTCCACTTGGCCATGAAAACCCACTGGGTGACATGGGCAAGATACAGCCTTTCCATCTCAAAAGAAAAGCACCCCCCCCCCCCCAAACAACCAGTTTTGCCCAGAGATTCCTGTGATAGGTTTGCTTTCAGATTGGGAACAACTTGAAGGCACACAACAGCAATTACATGATCAGCCAAATGATTGGTTCAAATGAGGGACCAGTGGTAGAAGCTTTTATTAAGATTTAAAATAACACAATGAAACAAATTATCTAAAATTGATAACTGCACGAAACAAAAGTGGACCAGATTTAGAGTCTCAGCTGCAGTTCTATTTCTGTTGACTAACTAACATCTGTATCATTTTGCAAAATGCATTATATATATATTCAAACTGTAGACCAAACCTAAAAGTGTTATTTTTGGACTGTGAATCCTAATATCCCCTATCCAACGACTGGTCACACCGACCAGTGAATTCTGGGATTTGAAAAACAATATTCCAAGCTCTCTATATTGAAAAAGGTCATACATTTAGGGCGCATATAGTGCTATATTCTGCTTTTAACTATCATGATTCCATTTTATGGAATCCTGGAGYTTGTAATTTGGTGAGGCACTAGATCAGTGGTTCCCAACCTGTGGTYCGTGGACCACCATTGGTCCACAAGAACTAAATATGGTCCRTGACCTTACTGTTACTACACCATTGCAAYGAAAGCGATTGATCTCGCAAAACCCTCTTATAGTGCTATGGTGATGGGGATGTCATGAGGGGAGGGGCTGACTAYCCACAAAAGGCTCAACAAGAAGCCTCCTGACTGCTGYATCTCCTCCTCCGCCATCCTCCTGAGCGGAGCCGTACCATGTGGTTCCTGGAAGTGGAGGCGCCTTGGTGTCTTCATTTTTAGGCCTATTCCTGGGGTTATTTGGGGTGCTGATACATAAAATTACATTGTACAGACCACATTAGCAYTAGATTATTAAATATTTATTCATTTATTTATTTACCACACTTTTATCCGGCCTTTTTCAGCCCGAAGGCAACTCAGGGCGGTGTACAGACTGGCAACAATTAGATGCCGGACACACATAAATATATTGTTTAAAACAGGTTAAATCACATAATAAAATTCATATAAAAACAATTTAAAACTATAAAAATCAATGACTTCCAGGTTTAAATCCATGTTCATTTGCATTGTTAAGCTGTGGTTTTCTGTGGTCGAGCTGATGATGACTACGGGATGGCATAGRTTCTGTGTCAGGAACTAGAGTTGATGTGGTCAATCCACTGCAGTTTTCTGAATTAGCATCCCAAATAACCAAACTGAATCTAAAGTTGACCAAAAACTGATTCGTAACCTTTTAGGTACTAATGTTGGAGAGTGGTCCCTGGTCAGAGTGGTCCCTGGTCAAAGTGGTCCCTTTTCAAAAATAGGTTGGGAACCACTGCACTAGATAACAGTTAAAAATTACAATAGTTTAGAATTTTATATGACTTAAACTGCTAATTCCAGGATTCAATGGAACTATGGCAGTTCATGTTATAGTGTGAACGAGGCCCAAATCAGAACATTCTGAGATCTGCTGAGGAGTCTTGAGAATTAATCGGCACAGCAACAAATGCACTGGACTCGTTTCCTATTCTAGTGTCGCTCAAAGTGGTGGTCCTTGAACCACTGCTCATGTACAGATAGTTAACTCTCAGTCCCTTGCAAATGTCCAGGAAAAAAGTCCTTCTAGCTAATGGGCACAAATATGATTCTGGTCCCTGTTGCATTGGGGGAAAATGGCTAGGCTCCATTTCACATAGCTTGAAGGGCATTGATCTGTGCACATAAAGTTGTATTTTGCAGGAATATTAGTTGTGGTGACCTTCAGATTTTAGTGTGATGGTGTGACAGCCTCCATATTGCCAATTCCAGAGGAAAGTTGTATAAATATTGCTCCAGTCACATGTGAGCTGTTTGGACAGAAGCTGCTGGGATAATATGTTCTCAGGCAGTCCCTCGTTGTCCAACTATAATGGCCCTCCAAGCGTAGTGTTTTGGCGGTGGGTACCTAGGTAACTGTGGAGCCCTATTCTTGATCCACATGTTCTTACACAGTGAGGGCATCGGTTTCCAGGTGGAAGGCGGTCCTGATTAGGGTTGACTTGATGTGCCTTCCTCTTGGCACGTTTCTCCCTTTCGCCCTTCATTCGTACTTCTTCCAATTCTGCAGCACTGCTGGTCACAGCTGACCTCTAGTTAGTTCACTCAAGGGCCAGGGTTTCCCAGTTCTCAGTGTCTATGCCACAGTTTTTAAGGTTGGCTTTAAGTCCATCTT